ATCGCCTTGATGCTAATGGTGAGGCACCCCATCTTGATCTCTACATGGATAATGTTGTCGTGAGTGCGGTCGATGATGAAGCCGACATAATGCTGAAGGCTGCCAATGTAGTCGAAGATGAAGTAATTGTGGTCCCAGTGGCTGATCTTGACCCATGTGCATCTCGAGTGGTGTTTAATACGGGATGGTGGATACTAGCGTCAATGGAGAATATCTGTGTGACACATGTAGGTCTCTCAGAGCCATGTACCTTGATGTATGAGTGCCAAATCAAGCAGTTGGTTTGACACAAAAAAATAGAGTGCTTTGATTTTTTTTATTATGGTGCTCATGTTAAAATTGCTTGGCATCACAAATGATCCCTCACATGACTTACAAACAAAAGGTCTCAATATTGTTAATGCTCTGGAGGTTAGTCCTTATTCAGCCGTTCCATTTCTTACAATATTGTTGTTCCTTTCATTGTTAATCTGATTGCACTTTTATATTTCAATTGTAGCTTATCCATGATGTAAAGCTTAATTTAACAACATGAGAGAAAGTGGCTGAGATAATTTATTTGATGAGGCAAGACAATTTTGTGATGTGAATGGTATTCCTATTCCAAATATGGATGAGGAAATACCAGTGAGGGTTCAAGGCATGATGGATTTACTGTTACCAATCTTCATCGTTATCGTACTGGGATTTTCTATGTTGTTGTTGATAAAATATGTGCTAAGATGAATCTTTGGTTTAGTGAAGCGATGACGGAGCTATTGATGTGCTTTTCTTGTCTTGATTGATACAAAGTACTCTTTCTCTAGTTTTGATGTCAACAGTCTTGCTTGGCTTGCTGAAATGTATGATGAGGATTTCTCAAATCTTGATCGTGGAGTCATAAGGGGACAATTGGAGACCTATATTCTTCGTATGAGGAGGCATGCTGCCTTTGCTACTAAGAGATTGCAAGTTTGTCCTAGGAAATGGTTAATACTAAAAAACATTTGGTTTTTCTATTGGTCAACAAGCTCATTGAATTGGCATTGTTGGTGCCGGTATGAACAACAACCATTGAAAGGGCTTTCTCATGTATGAAGACTATCAAGTATAAATCCCGCAATAAGATTGCTGATGATTGGTTCAGCCACTTGATGGTGTGCAATATTGAGCGAGAACTATTCAATTCATTTGATGTAGCTACTATTCTTCGACGATTTCAAAACTTGAAGAGTCGCAAGATGCAATTGCCTCGTAGCCATGCTCGCGTGCATCCGTAGTTACAAATTACTCCCTCCGTTCTAAATTATAAGTCGCTTTAACTTTTTTGATACATCCATTTTGCTATGCATTTAGATATAATAATATGTCTAGATACATAGTAAAATAAAAGAATAAAAAAAGTCAAAGTGACTTTTAATTTGGAACGGATGGAGTAGCATTTAAGTTTATCTTTTGTGTTTCATTATCTAAATCATGAACTTGTGTACTGAAAAATAATTTTAATATTTTATTATGAATCTATCATGATTTCATGATTTTATATGTATATGTTATAATATATTCATGACATCATGGGCATTGCTTGTCACCGTTAGCTCGATGTATTGTCTCACTCAGACTCTGAAATTCCTGGCTTAACCTTGTACACCCACTTCAGACCGATCGGACGACATCTAGGAGGTGGATCGATGAGCTCCCAAGTCTCGTTTTCTCGATTGCCTTCATCTCCTCCAGCATCGCCCGTCGCCAATTGGCATCGCGCTCGGCTAGCGCGAACGTGGGTGGTTCCTCTGCACTAACGAGAAGCAACTCTAGGTCATTGAGCAGCCGACCCACTAGGCCTAAGGACCCTGTGCCACTGACGATGTCATCCAGCCTACGGAACCGCACCTCCTCACCGTCGTAGAAGACATCCACGAACTCGGTGATGTCACTTGGAGGTGAGACGAACTCGATCGACGTTGATGGAGTCCCTTGTTCCACCGGAGTGGTCGGCACAGCACCTGGAGTGCTCGGCACCCTGGCTGCAGTGCTCGGTACTACTCCTGGACCGCTCGTCACCATTCCTGGAGTGGTCGGCACCACTGTAGGAGTGCTCGGCACCAGTCTTGGAGTGGTCGGCACCACTTCAAGACCTCTAGGCTCCGCTACAGGAGCGTTCGGCACCCATCCTACAGTGTCAGCACCACTACAGGACCTCTCGTCACCCCTCCTGGAGTGCTCGGCACCGCCCCAGGAGTGCTTGGCTCTGTTGCTGGTGTGGTCGGCACCTCATCTTCAGCATCTCCACTACCATGGATGACCAAGTGCTCAACGACGAAGGTGCTGGTGAAGCCGCCAGCTTCCCCTGTGCCCGGACTGTCCTAGTCCCAGGCCGCCTTCTCGTCGAACACGACATCGCGCGAGACAACCACCTTGCCTCCGCGTGGGTCGTAGAGCCGGTACGCCTTGGTACCTTCCTCATAGCCCAGGAGCACCATCGGTGTGCTCCTATCCTCCAGCTTGGTGAGGACCGGCTTCGTCTTTCTAACGTGGCTGATGCAGCTGAATGTTCGGAGGAAGGACACGCTCGGCTTGCGTCCATACCAAGCTTCGAACGGCGTCTCGCCTTGAGGGCCTTTGTGGGCGCGCGGTTGAGGATGAACACCGCCGTGGTCACCGCCTCACCCCAGAACCTTGCTGGCATGCTCTTGGCCTTCATCACGGATTGAGCCATGCCGACCACCGTCTGGTTCCGCCGCTCCACCACACCATTCTGCTGTGGCGAGTACGGTGCGATGTGGTGTCGCACCACACCCTGATCCGCGCAGTACGCAGCGAACTCCACCGAAATGAATTCGCCGTCGCGATCAGTCTACAGCACACGCAGCTTCTTGCCGCTCTCCGCCTCCACACGCGCCTTGAACTTCTTGATCGCCTCCGCCGCCTTGTCCTTGCTCGTCAGGTGTTGCAGCCACATATTACGACTGCAATCATCCACGAGCACGAGAAAGTACCGCCGACCACCGTTTGTGGCTGGTGTGATTGGCCTGTAGAGATCATCGTGGATGAGCTCGAGAGCATTCGCTGCGCGATACTTGGCCGCCTTTAGGAATGACAGCCTCCTCTGCTTCCCGACCAGGTAGCTGTCACACAGCTCGCCTGTATGCTTGATGTGGGCCAGCTGTGCATAGAACATCGCCATCAGGAGAGCGGCCTCATCATCCTCATCAGTCTGCGCTAAATGAGCCTCAGCCTTCTTCTCCTGCTTGCGATTTGGGTACTCCTTTGCCCAATGGCCCGTCTTCCCGCAGCGCCGGCAGGCGTTGGGGCCGACCTTCTTCTTCTCCAAAGAAGCCTTGCCGCGACGCTTGCCATCGCCACCACGGCTAGAGGAGGCTTCCCCGGACTTCCGAGCAGCCCATTCCTCCTCTATCAGCAGCAACTTGTCGCTGTCCGTCGTTGCAGTGGCCTGCTCCATGCGCTCGTCCACCGCCCGTAGACGGTCTGTCACATCCTCAATGGTGAGGGTGGACAACTCCAGCATCGTCTCTATGGAGGGAGCGATCTAGATGTACTTCACCGGCATAGAGTGGAGGTACTTGAAGACCACCTCTTTTTCGTCGATGGTGATGTCGTGGCTCCTCAGCTTGCTGATGAGCGACTGCAGACGAAGGGAGAAGTCCTCCACCAACTCACCATCCTTGAACTTGAGGTTGGCGTACTCCTGCTTCAGCAGCTGGGTCGTCGCCTTCTTTACGTGGTCGGAGCCGACGCGCATCGCTGCAATGGCCTCCCATGCCTCCTTAGCAGAGTTCTTCGCCCCAACGGCTCCCTGTACTCCGCTGACACAGCAGCGAGGATAGCCTCCAACGCTGACATGTCGTCTTCTTCGTTGTCGGTGCCCTTGTCAATGGGATTCCAGAGCCGTCGGGCTCTGAGCTTGACCTTCATGGTCACCGCCCACTCGCCATAGTTGGTGCGAGTCAACGTTGGCCAACTGGTGCCGCTGACCTCCCACACCATGCGCACGACGACCTCCTGTTGTGGCTAGACAGCCACATCAGCGCCGTTGCTGTCGCCCATCTCCAAACCGTCCGTCATCGCCAGCGGTTAGTCCGGCGACGGCGCTTGTACGGCTCCGATACCACTTGTTGGTCTCAAGATCTCCCACACGGGTGAGCCGACCACTCACCAACGTTCCCGACCACACACTATGACTAGAGGTAGAAGAGGGAGGGAGAATAGAGCGCGCACACACACAACACAAGCATCAACGTTGGCCAGAGCTCTGCAGAGGAGATGACAAAATTGAACTCGCTCTCTTTACTGAGTTGCAGTGGGAAACTATATATACAACTCTACCTATATAATCCCAGTATACAGACATGTCAGTCTACTATGCTGCTACAGTGACTAAATGTGACAGCAAGGCTGACTTTGGCGTCCGCCTCTGCTGTGGCTACAGTACGACAGGGGAGCCTTTCGGCGCCTGCCCCTGCCACGGCTATAGTGCAGCAGCAGGGGAGCCCTTTCGGTGCCTGCCTCTGCCACGGCTACAGTGCAGCAATAGGGGAGCCCTTTTGGCGCCTGTCCCTGCCGCGCGTAAGCAGATTACTTTACAATTCTTACATGGCCAAGCAGGGCATATTATTGATTTCCAGTTCTTGTAGATGTGGCAAATTTCCCAAAACCGGAATGTGGTCACGTCCCTTGAGATCAGATAATATTATTTTCACCAGATTCGGGAGTGTATGATTTATATTGTTAATCCAATCCGGATATATTGTGCTGTTGTAGCCTTTTATGGAGAGACATTGTAAATTCCGATGGGGCCTTAAAGTTTCGAGCATTCTAGTAGCCTTTGTTAGATGATCCTTTCCAATAGAAGACCCAATATCAGAATCACATGAGGACCATTCAAAACTCAATACATGAAGCTATTGCTTTCTGCCCAGTCCCACTTCCTCTGCTTCCTCCGGTGACACCACATTCTCAAGGCATTTGATGTTTAGCTCATGCTGTGTGAGATCCAGGATCTACTGGAGAAGCGTAATATTGCTGTGGTTGTCACCAGGTTGTATCCTTACATCAAAATTGGGCAAGGTTAGAAGGTCTACCAAGCTTGCAATGCCTTGTTCTGAGAAGAGCGTGAACCCTCCAACTGACAGGTACTTAAGACAAACCAAATGTTGGGTGACGATATCCTCTTGCATCATGCCTAGCTCTAGTTCTCTGCTGGGATCTTCTGAACTCTCTAAATTTCCCGCAGAGGTTCCAGGATCTTCAGAATAAGCTTTTGCACTGATCCCAGAGAGATTTAGGTACTCCAACTTACCGAATTTCCAGCACAGAATCAAATTTAGAAAGTTCTGAATTCGCGAACAACCTGATAGATTTAAACACCGGAGCTCACAAAGACTGGTACAGGAATTGGGAAGGGCAGCCAAATTAGTACAATCTGATAAGTCCAAAATCTCCAACATCAGGCTGCCAGCATCAGCATCCTTCCCGCAAAATTCAGGAAGAATTTCAAGAGAGGTACAACCAAACAAATTCAAGACTAGAAGCTTCTTCATGTACATAAATAACCCACTAGGCAGTAGTTTCAACTGGTGGCAGAAGGACATATTCAGATGTATAATATTTGCAAGGTCAGTGAAAGAATCAGGCAGCCCGTGAAGTTTGTAACAATGCAATAGGTTCAGAAATGAAAGATTCTGAAGGCCACCAAACTTTGAAGGCAGCATTTGAAGCTGAGAACAATATGAAAGGTCAAGGAATGCAAGTTTCCGAAGCTCCCCAAACTCTTCAGGCGGCGATTGTAGGCTACCACATCTTGATACGTTCAGGTGTACTAGCTTTTTGAGTTTATGAATGTCCTGTGGCAGCTCTTTAAGATTTGAGCAGCCAGGTAGGTCCAAATATTGTAGGTTGACCAATTCAAAAATATAACTGGGAAGTTCAGAAGGGTGGGCCTGGTGCAAGCGGTAAAGTCTTACCGCCTGTAACCGGAAGGTCCCGGGTTCGAGTCGCGGTCTCCTCGCATTGCACAGGCGAGGGTAAGGCTTGCCACTGACACCCTTCCCCAGACCCTACACAGAGCGGGAGCTCTCTGCACTTGGTACGCCCTTTTTTTATAACTGGGAAGTTCAACAAGGCAGGTATTTTCAGAAATATTCAATGCTTGTAAACCATGCAATGAGCTCAGGGACTTAGGTAGCAGGCCAGTTTGAATTCCAGATATATTTAAGAACTTCAACAATCTCATATTGACGATATAAGCAGGTAGATCAGCAATAGTAGTACATGCACTCAAATCCAGCACACGTAAGAACTCGGCTCCCATCAAAGACTTCAAACTAGTCTGACCAATGCTGCACTTGTTAAAATGAAGAGCCCTTGCTGTGTTAGGTATAGACCAATAATCTGGGGATGCATCACATAAGTTCGAGAGCAACATGTATCGACAGTTGTCTGTAATTCCAAGAGGATTTTGTTGCCTGTTAGTGTCAAAGGTAATGACATCGTCATCCGCAACTAATCTTGCAAGCTCATGAACCAAATCATGCATCTGGAATAACACAACTCGAGGTTTGCTATATCTTGCAAATGGCTAAAAAGTGAAATTGTACCAATGTTAGTCAACTACCTTCTACAGTTTAGACATATATTAACCAGCATGTATATTATCAAAAAAGCAAAAGTAAACATAAATTGGGCATGAACTTTAAGAGAAAAATGTTCAATAAATACTCCCTCAGTCCACAAATACAACTTTACAAGGGATTCTGAGATTCTTAGGGCAGTTTAAGACGGATAGGACAAGGCACATGTATCCCTCGTTAAAGCAATGGCTAACCCATTTGTTTAGTGCAATTTAACATGTTGTGTCCTAATGTACTCAGAATATATTATCTTAGTATTTGTTCAACAAAAGAACCCTCCACATTAATTCTCACGGACGAATTCACTACTAATTTAATAAGAGAACAAAAATCATAGTACCCATATGCATTTTGAGAAATTGCCCACACCACTACTACGCAAATATTTAACCCAAAATGTCCTTATATCTAAACATATTAGAATCTTATGTGACTGCTATAAGATTCGAGTACATGGAATAAAATAATATATTGGGACCATGGAGGTAAATATCTCCAACAGAGGGTAACTAGATCGCGTACAGATGAATCGGCGTGTTTTTTTTTGTGTGTGTGTGTGTGGGGTGGGGGGGTGGGGGGGGGGGGGGGGTAGTGGAACTAGATGAGGTTATGTTAATACTCTTGATCTCCCATAAGATAAGCAGTAAATAAAAATGAAAGTCTTACAGTTGGAGACATTCCAGCTACATCCTGAAGAAAAGACATCTCACGAAGATCCTCAAGGTATCTTTCTCCAGCTTGTTGTGCGGTGAACGATTCGCCATGGAGCTGAACAAATCCGAGAGCAATCCACTGCTGAATCAAGCTACTCTTCTCTATATACCAGCCTTTTGGAAAAACAGCGCAATATGCAAAACAGAGCTTGAGATGATAAGACATGTATTGATAACTAAGCTTCAGTGATGGTAGCACTTTCGTATCTTTGAGTAACCGTCCATCATCTCCATTTTCTGCCCAGATATCACTATCCAGTATAGCTTTCCATTCATTAGTTGTCCGGCAAAGGTATCCGAGAGAAATTGCTGCTAGTGGCATTCCTCTGCATTTCTTGACTATCTGTCTTCCTATACTTTCCTTATCAACATCCACCTTTCCATCTGGAAATGCCTTTGCTCGGAACAACTCCCAGCAGTAATTGTCCGGTAAAGCACCTAATTCTACTGTCAAACTCCCATTCATTAGCTTTGCAACTTTTACACTGCGTGTGGTTGCAATGATCTTGCTGCCTGCTTTAGCACCCCGCAGCAATGTCCTTAGTTTTTCCAACTCATCTGGATCTTCTTCCCATATGTCATCGAGAACAATAAGAAACTGCTGCCCTTTTACAATAGTTTTCAAGCGGTCGCGTGTAGCTTGCAAGGTGATACCGGCAGGGCTGCTTGATTTATCCAGTTGGGAGATGATAGATTGACCGATGGTCTTGATATCAAATTTTACAGAGACATAGACCCACGCTTGGATTTTAAAGAATTGCCTTGTTCTATCATCGTTGAAGACCATCTGGGCAAGAGTAGTTTTACCTACTCCTGCGAAGCCAGAGATAAAAACAATGAGGCAGTTTGAGTGATCTGTTTGCAGCATACTGATTAATCTTTCTTTTTCTTCCATCCTCCCAACAGGGACTTCATCAGCATCTGAGAGTGTCTCCCGTTTCCTGATTACTTCTTCATCATTGTCGCTAGTGCGTTCTATGAAGTTGAATTTATTCTGAAGATCTACTATCTCATCTATGGTTTCCCTCATTCTTTTCATTTTATGAGGCATCTTCAACCTTTCAAAGCACAAAACTAACCCCTGTTGTCAATAAATTGCATGGGTCAGAAACGAGTTCATCATAATTCATAAGCTAATGTAGTTTAGCTTTGAAGTACTATAGCTGGCAAGTGGCAACTCACCTTTTTAGCCTTGGCGCTAAGCGCAAGGCCTTCACCCTTGTGGGGGGTGGTCCAGGACTCGAAGAGTAGCAGCATATCCTCCAAGTCATAAGCTGCAGCCTTGAGCTTCTTAAGCGTGTGACGGACGCTCTCCAGCCTTGACGACTGCCTCTCCGCGTCCTTGAGGAAAGATTGGATAAAATACAGCTTGTCCTTGATGCTCCTATAATCTTCACTGAAATTCAGCCGCACAGCAATCTCGATCCAGGTGGCATCCAAGGTAAGGCTAGTCAGCTTGCCGAAAACCGTCTTCAGCGTGACAGAGGCTAGCAATTCCCCGACCGCAACCATTGTCAGATACTATGACGGGAAAGAAACAGGCTGCTGAATTTCAGTGATTTATAGAACGAGATCTGAAATTCCAGGAGCAGAGGCCAACTAGATGTGACGCATGGTGCGGCACGGCGCAAGGGTTGACCACACCTGCAGCTGCTGGATGAGCACGATGATTGGAATTTTGCAATGCCACCGAAGCACCTTCTGTGATTTATACAGCGAAATCGAACATATTTAGAGGTTTTATCTTCACAATCAAAATTCTTTGCTTGCTCTCGCTAGTGCGTGCTTTTCACCACTCCTGAAACAAACAACCAAATCAACATATTTAGAGGTTTTGTTTTCACAAATGAAAATTTGAGTTGTCCATACGTGTAACACCCCTGGTGTTTAGATTCCACATTTGCACTTGCATTTCATAAACATGAGCATCATTCATCCATTCATGAGCTTATATTACATGAAACATGCTTGAGAAACATTGAAACATATTGTCATATCCATGTGTGTTTGTTTTATGAAATGAATAGTGTGCAACACTCAAGTGCAACATATGCAATACACTTTAGTGAAACATGGTTAGTTAGTACCATGCAACAAGATCATGAAACATGTGAAACATGACTATGAAACAAGTGTAACATTTTATGTGTTTTTCATTGTTTCAGTACATACCTTGCTTGATTCTTGTGTGACCAATGTATGGTGTGGCTAAAAATTCTTTTAAGTAACTTAGTTACACCTATAATGTCATTTGGGACATTGTTCATGTTGATCACTTTGACTAATTAGGTTCCCAAGTCATGGTTTGACCCATTTTGACCCCTAAACACTTTGGTTTGACTGTTTAAAAAGTGTAGCTTAGGATGTTTGCATGTCTGAGCAACCTAAAACAAAGTTGTAGCAAATTTTATGAAGAACAAACTTTGTTGAGAAGCCAAGTCATGAAAATGTGCACAACATGTTCAAAAGGGACCCACAAGTCAGCTTTGAAGGTGGATTCAACACTTGAAAAAATTGCTAAGTCCTAAATGCCATTTCAGTTTGAACGGACCAACTTTGGCTTGATATAACTCGTGATCCGTTGAGAGTTAGCTATTGATTTCTAAATCAAAGTTGTAGCCCTACTATAGCTCTACAACTTTCATGTTCATTGTTTCCACTAATACGTCACGGTTTAGGAGCTAATCACTGTCAAACATCGCCTGTCAGTCGGGTGATGGATCACTGAATCAGAGTTCAGGCTAGCTACAGTGATCACCGTTTCAGAAAACGTCCGACGCGTGGGTGACACTCGTCGCCGGTCGCCTGACGCGCAGGCCACACGCCGCGGCCGTCCTGGCGCTGCTGGCCACGACGTGAACACTCCGCGAGCCTGCCCGACCAGTTCGTCAGCCCATTTCTCATTTCTTTGCCTCCACCGCGCGCAGCAAGCGAGCTCAAGCCGCTCCGCCATTGCCGCTCCAGCTGCGCCATCGTAGAGCTTGCTCACCGCCACAAAAACGCGCACTACACCTTCACCGTAGCTCCGCCGTGTTCGCCTCTATGTACTCCACCACTTAGCCGAGCCATTCGAGCTTAGGTAAGGTCGCTGTGACCATTCCAGCCACCGCCGCCATGGCTGAGCTTCGTCGGAGTTGGCGCTCACCGTGGCCGGCCCATCTCCGACCACCACGGGTCCTTCTAGAGGGTGCGTTAGAGTCACGTTGGGTTGGGGAAGCTCGGTGTAACCAGCAATTACGTTATTTCGGTCGCCGTCGGCGCCTCGCCGTCGAGCCGAACCACCGCACCGCCATGGCCGCCGCCACCGTCTTGGTCGTCGGCAATAGGCCGAGCCAAGTAGGTCTATAGACTCGGGAGTTCGAGGTGAACGTGTTGGTACCACTGCCGTCGCCGGAAGAGTCGCCGTCGGCGAGTTCCACCACCGTCACGCTGTCGCGTGCGCCTCCCCTGTTTCGTCTCACTGACAGTCGGGTCCGGCTGACAACCGGGTCCCACACGTCAGTGACTGCCTATTACATAGGATAGTTCAAATTTCCAGTTTTGAATGTTGTTTTGTAAATTTCGTATCTCCAAATTGGTAGATCCAAATTGAGTACTTCCAATTTTGTTAGGATCATAGTGAAGTCTAGTATTTAAGAAAAATATGTCTTGAGCACTTTATGTAGAAATTTTGGATGAATTAAATAGGAACTTGAAAAGTGTTTTTGAATGCATACAAATTTGTTTAAATCATATCTTGAGTTTCTGTGATCCAAAAATTGTGAAATTTTGTGGGTAAGCTAGTATTGCTTAGTAGAAGCTCTGGTTAAAATTTGAGAGTCATTGCATATGTAGTTTTTGAGTTATAGATTTTCCTTTTATCATTGGGGGATACTTACGTGAATTTTTGTAAATTATCTAGGAATCCTATGGCCATGAAACTTAGTAGGTAGTATCTTAGTACCTTAAGGATGCTAAAAAAAATATGAAATCTGTTGCTTGACACTTTTTATTAGGGTTTCCTAATTATGCCATTTTAAGCCATTATGCCTTATCATTTTTGTGTAGGTTGTTATACTTGCTCAAATGGTGTGAAATTTTTATGGTAGTCTACTTAGGGCATATAGTGTCTACTGTAATTTTTATAGATTTAATGGTGTAGTTTTCATATATGTTTACTATTTCCTCTAATTAATTAAATAAATTAAGAAAGGTATTAAAAGAAATGTTTTGGGGATAAACACCCTACTTTCTGGTGTTCTTGTGATATAAGTGATATGTGAGTCGAGTTAGTTTTGTCCAATTATTTGTTTACATCATAAGTTAATAATTATTCCGATTGCATCATGTCCCTCTGCACAGATCTGGGGACTTTAGGAAGTTCTCCATGATAGTTTGGTTTTCTGTAAACGTGATGAACACAAGAGTTGTAGATAATTTATGTATCTAGCTCCTGTCAAAAAGTTGAAGGCATTTGGCTTAGTAGTTTAGAAACTACAGCTGTTTAAATTTAGGTTCCAGTTTTGCTTACTCTCTGTCTTGGGAGGACAGACTTTTGTTGATTTAGGAATTCAACCTGGTAATGGTTTGAATCATGCTTTGAGGTCTGAAAATGAATTGTAGACAATTTCATAAGCTTTCCAGATTGTCTTGTTGCATGTCAATTGGATTTATAAATCTCCAGTTATGGCTAGTTTACTGTACCGCTACAGAGTCTTCATTTTTGCTGAAATATAAATGCTTGAGTGTATGCTTGATGCAATGTTTCCGTTGATTGTTAGGGGTTAGCCTAACTTGAGGATATGCTTAGGTGCAGGTGCTAGGTCATTAACTGAAGATGAGCAATTATACATTAGGTTGTATACACTTGGTAAGTAAAGTGATTTGAATAGGGCTTAAGTTGGAATATGCAACTACAGCGAACATGCGCATTCCCCGAGCATCCCTGACATTCGTTCATGTACATCCATGATATTTATCTTGCGCATTCATGCAATAGGTGTACCGGAGGGAGTGACATTGCTGGAGTTCGAGGGAGCCAACCAGGAGGAGGAAACCGAGGTGCAGGAAGCCGACGAAGCGGTCGCCGCGGAGGAATTGCCCGAGTGCCCTGACCACCAGCCTTCCTCGTTCCTGAAAGGCAAGCTCCGAAGCATATTAAGCCTCCCATGCTTTTACAAATACTTTGAGTGTCTTTTATTGTTGATGATGCATTAAGTATAGGAATTGGTTGGAACCAATTGCTGCATTATATATATCCTTCCTTGTCCAGATATCGCACTGGAATCCTATTTAAGTTGAGGAACGGGTTAAATGCTTAGCCATGCTTAGTGCGGTAGAAGTCAGGTGATTTCCAGTCACCTGCGAGCTTTAGGATGAGATGGATCACGGTTGGCTATATTTGCCATCGTGGAAAAGAACCATGTGAATAATGAATTAAGACTGGGCGATGTCTTGTGTAGGTTTGAAAATAGTGACTCCGTCTGAGTCGTTTAAGGACTGATACGCTGTACGTCCTCAAGTCATGTTGAACGCAGCCTAACACTTAGCTGGCCGGATAAGTTGTTCCGACCGTGAAGCCTAGTAGCTCGACTCAGGCCGGGGAGGCGAGCAGTGGCGTGCATTCTGGAGGTAGTAAGGATGTGCGGAGAGCCATTGGCATAAGTCCAAGGCGGGTTAGAGTCCTGAACAACCTTGGCAGAATGGTTCTCTGAGAATGTCGATATGCTCGGACTCGCGACTCCTGAATCGTACCAAAGGTGACTTGTTTGTGACCCTAACGGGGGAAGTAGGGTTTGTGTTTAGGAATACCCCTCCAGCTGGATAGGAATCAATTTGAATCGTCGTCTCTCCCGGATAGTGAGAACTTGACTAAGCAGCGACAACGTAGATTCAATTAATTTAACGATATGGTTAAATGGATGATGATGATAAGGTTGCCACAATGAATACCTGATATGGTTATTAATGTTTGCACCCTAATAAAATGATTGATTAGTACATGTGCTAATATAGTTGATAGGTTAATGGCTAAAAGTCACTGCTAGTCCAGGTTATGAGTTAATCATTATTACTTATGCTTTTCCGCAAAAAGAAAGTGTCAGCCAGATCCACTACATTAAGCTATGCATAATCCTTGGTGTCATTTATTTTGGTTTTTCGACGGGTAAGTCTAGCTGAGTACATTCCCGTACTTAGGGTTTATTCCCTCTTGTTGCAGATGACCTTCTTTATCAGGGATTCTGTAAGTATTGTCTCCACCCGGCGGGTGATGAAGACTAGATCATGGGCCTGATCTCAATTTCTCTTATCTGAATGCTTTTGTGGGTTGTGATCAGCAAACCAGTATGTGTATTTGAACTCGGGTGTGTAAGTTAAACTATTTGCTTCCGCATGTTTTACAAGACTTGTTTTGTAATAACGATGACTCTGTGATGATGTAATCTATTTGCGAACGTCTACGAAATGTTGTAACATACGATATGTTATGTTGAATTACTGTGATCTTGGTTGTATGCAAGTTGGTTTGAAAT